AAGCAGCTCTGATTTTCTCCTAAAGACTCTGAAAGTCCTCTAACTTTATTCCAGAGCTGCAGAAAAACACTCAAATAAATCAGAAAAACTCTCAAATAAATCAGAAAAACTCTCAAATAAAGCAGAAAAACACTGAAATTAAACAGAAAAACTCCAGAAGCAGCTCTGGTTTCCTCCTAAAGACTCTGAAAGTCCTCTAACTTTATTCCAGAGCTGCAGAAAAAGCCAGAAAGCTTCTCCTCTGAACCTGAAACAGGTTCCAGTCTCTTCTGAAGCTGTTTGCATTGTTGAACCCCCAAACAGACGTTCAGCTCCAGTTAAAGCTTTAAGCTCCTGTTTCTGATCAGTTCTTCCATCTAAAAGGACTCAAACGCTCCATTAAAGGAGCTTTTTCTGGATAAACACCAACATCTGAGCTCTGATCCAAACTAAGGTGCAGAAAACTCAGATTTTCTGCCTTTTTTCTCCAAAATCAGCTCAAATGTATCATTAAAACCCCTCAAACTTTGTTCCATAGCTGAAAATAAAAGGTTTTCAGTCTTCTCTGAAGTCTATTTTCACACAAAATGGACGTTCCAGCTCCAGTTTAAAGCTTTAACCTCCTGGTTTTCATCCATTTAACTGCCCAAAATGACAGAAATGCCTCCATTTAAGGAGCTTTTTCTGGATAAACCCCAACATCAGAGTCCAGAGAACCAGAGTTCTGCTGATTCTGCTCCAGAATGAGGTTCTCCTCCTGGATCAGCTCTGTTCAGCATCCACAGATGAAGAAACTCTGTCTGGGAGCTGAAACCTGTTTTTATAAAGAATCCCTCTAAACTTATGAGCTCATTTTAAGCTAAAATTATGAAAACTTGTTAGTTTTTTTTAATAAAATAGATGAAAAAATCTTCATAAATTATTTGAGAATCAAGTAACCTATAGACAGAACTCAAAATAAATCAGAATATCTCACATTTAAACTGTGAATTCCTGCTTTTCTCCTCCAGAATCAGCTCTGGTTTCCTCTAAATGAGTTCTGTTCAGGTTTAGACTTTTGTTCATTCAAACAGACCTGAGAGGACAATAAAAGGCTTTAAAACACCTTAAAGTGTCTCTTTGATCAGATTTAGAAAGAATCCATCTAAAAAAAGAGCTTTTTTTTAAAAAAAAAGAAACATTCAAAGTTTGATAGTTTTCCATAGAAAAAAATTAAAAATCCCACAAATTGAACAAAAATGAATTGGGAATGAAATAGATGACTAAAAGGAATCTGAATAGAGCTAAATTCCTCTTTATTTCTGCTTCTGTCCTGAAGAGGATTGGAGGATTTTAGGATATTTTCTCCAGAACGTTTTAAACC